AATTGGGAGAAATAATTAACCCACAAATGCATACCGTTGCAGAGCTGAAACATACTATTTACCTTCCCATTCACAGAAGAAAAAAAAACATCGTGAAATACGAATTTCATTTATTCTTTGGAAAAAAAAACACAGAGGCAACATTAAGAACTGGTTAGAAAATTTATTTAAAACTTGGACCTTGCCATACCCTCCCCTTCCCCCTTGTATTTTCTTTTTTTTTTTTTTTTTTTTTTGTATCTTCTGGTTTGGTTTTGAACTCTACAGCTATGTGAAAATTAGGGTTAACTAACTTTTGCATCTAACACAGTAACCACTTAGTGTGATACAAAAGGGTGAGTGATGTATCAGATGAGAAAGGCCCTTAAAAGAAACTTTCCCATGTCATAACACCGGTGTCGTATTACAAGGGGAAACTACTCACCACTGACATACATCGATTACGTGCCCTAGAAAAAAATATTTAAAAAATATATTTGTTAGAAAGAAAGCTAATAAATATTCAAAAAATATTGTGTTACTGTAAACTGTTATTGTTTGGACAGAAACACAAATATTTGGGTTAATTAAACGTCGCTTTAAGGAAAATATTTACGAAATGAAGAAAAAAATGCATCCTTATGTGAAGGTCATTTGTTGCTTTTTCGAGGTACCCGTCATACAGATTTTGTTGAGCTGGATCCTGGTTGTACTTGGCTATTTCCATGGTAAACGTCCTGTATAGTTCCTGGAATTTCATGATCACACCCACCCACGCGCACACACACACACCACCCACGCGCACACACACACCCACGCGCACACACACACACACACCCACACCGCTTATTGGGAATAAAATCCTTTTCCTAGCGAGTTAAGTGATAGGTTTACGTTCAAGAACGTAAGACTTATTTTCAATGTTCATCATTTTTTTTTTACTCAAACCGGCACATAGTTACACCAAACTCATTTTTAACATCTTTGCTTTTCTGTGATTTGTGAATATAATAAAAGACATTTTCCTTTTTTTTTTTAAATTGTATGTGTGGTTTATTAAAACATGCGTTTGAATAGGAGCTCAACTATCTAGAATGGTTGGCTAATGGTGTTAACACAAGTGTAGTCATTCTTATGAAACACAGCAGAAGGTAGCAGTTTAAAATCTGGTTGGAGAGTAAATACTTAGATTTATATCAGCAATGCCATCGTGCACTGTATCAGATATCCCATTGTGCAATATAGCAATAGATCGTGCAAGATATTAGCTATCCCATCTACAATATATAAGATATCGTTTAGAAAAATAAGGGTCATTGTTATAGGCCTACGAATAAACTGTAATTACTTGAGTGAAAAAAAGTATTTAGTTAAGAAAAGGTTGGAATGCGCCATGGGGGTCATCCATAAATGACGTCATGCTTTTTGACGATTTTTACCTCTCCTCCGTCACAAAATGCCAGACCCCCGCCCTAAAATGACATCCCCCCTCAACCTACAACCCCCCTTAAATTGCAGTTTTTTTTTAAAACATCGATATTTTTCAAAAATCTTGTCTGAAATCTGTTAAAACAGAGTATTTTAAGCGATTCCTATTACAATTTATTAAAACAGTTTTCTAAAACGCGAAATCTAATACTACTAAAAGTCAAGTTTGTTTACATGTTTGAATATTTATTTGTTTTTTTGTTTGTTTGTTTGTTTGTTTGTTTGCCTGATCGACTATTGTGATATGTTTGACTCTATCTGGAGAGCTGTAAAATAGTATGTAGGTAGAGAATAATTTTTTAATGCAGACAGACTGTTAATCACAAATTTATTTAAAGACGTTAATTAATTTATTGATTTATTCATAGTTAAATTAACCGTATTTTTTTAAAAATGTTAATACTTTGAATAAACTTTGTGGGGATAGTGACGTCCCTTGATGTGTTTACATTTTTGGTACAATAAAAATGGCGGACTCCATCATTGACTTTGTGGCCCATTCAAAAGTTTAACGCGTTACAAAGCTAATTTTCTGCCGGCTATAACTTAAACAATACGTCCGTTTGCTGTATTTATTACGTTCCAACACTTATATCAATTTTCAACTGTCTTTTTCATTTAGTTTTACGATAAATTTCTCTAGATCTAAAGATCAGCTGTCGAGAATCTAGCCTAGGCCCTAGATTGGCCTAGATTCTAGATCTAAGATCTAGATTCTAGATCTAGATCTAGGTCACTAGACTCAATGTAAATTCTACATCTAGAATCTATTTCGGGCCTTAATTATTTTATATAAATCTTTGTTTAGCTTCAATGATCATCTAATTCGAGAATACATGGGATTTTTTTATCTAGGTTTTATATCTAGATATAGTAGGATTACTCAGTAACTTGGAGGCGTGGTCGGCTGCTAACAACAATATGGCGTACGGACCGGACGAATGACTTCCTATCATTTTTAGGCCATGTTTACCACGAGCAAAATAACGGGTGTTCACATTATTTAAACATGGTATAGGTGGCCAGGGCTAGATATGCCAGAAAAGCATTTTAAAATTTGCTTTGGAGAATGAAGGCTACATTTTAAAGCCAGTGTCATAAACATTAATAGAACTTTTTTTTTTTTACGTTTTCAATTATTTTTTCTTAAGCCCTATATGTGAATGATAAGGTTGACTATCAGGACCTCGCGGGGCACAGGGCACGTGAAGTAGGGTTCATCTGTTTCTTTGTCCTAAGCAAATGAAGGGATAGTGTGGTCAGAGACATGCTTGGCTGGAATCGTTTTTGTTGTCTGAGACTTGGCGGGACACTGGGCAGGTGAAGTAGAGTTGAGTAGGTCACATGTGACGTCAGTATATGAAGGGATAGTCCGAAATCGGTGTTTTCGGTGTTTTTAAAAGATAAGAAACATATTTTTGAATGTGGGGTCTGTTTTTTGTGACTATAAGTGACACTGCAGTAGCGTAGCGAGGAGGGGGGGGCGGGAGGGAAGGGGAGGCGGGGGGAGGTGGAGGGGGGGTGGGGGGGACATATGTTGGGGCGCCAAAATGGTTTGGAAAAATAAATTGAAAGGTTGAGGGGGGTTCAAATGGAAAGTTTGAGTGGGGGGGGTGCACATCAAAAGTTTGAGGGGGGGGGGGGGTTGAAAATCGAAATCTTGGGGGGGGGGGTTCAAATCGAAAAGTTTGTCCCCGGGCGCCGGGAAGGGTCGCTATGCCTCTGAGTGACAGACGTGATGTTTTTTGATGGATGACCCCCGAAACCCACAGTTATCCAACGGATGACGGGTATTCTAGTAACATCTAAAATTCGTTTTCTAACATTTCTTTTTTATAATGCAAAAGTGTGACGACGCACCGTCTGACCCCCCCCCCCCCCTCACAAAATTACGGACCCCCTCACCCCTATCAATGTGACGTCATTTATGGACGACCCCATGATTAAGTTGTTTTTAAAAGAAGACACAGTGATACAATTTGGGGAACTGTTGAGATTAAACCGTGTGAGGTGTAAAAGGGGGGGGGGGGGGTAATCTTAAAGGGCGTGATTTCTATAATATATATATTTCAAATATTTGGGGGGGGGGGAGGGGCTAGTAAGAAAGTCTCGAGTTCGAATCAAATCAGTAGAACGTCCCTGAGTCAACCCAGCGCTGATGGGTACCTAACTCACGTTAGGGAAAGTTAAGGCGGCAAAGCATAGTGCAGACATTATCCCTTCATTTACCTTGGTGAAGTAACGTATGAACTCAACTTCATGTAGGCCGACCCAACATATCAAATCATTAGGTCTAGAAACAATCTTTATGTTGGAGGGGGGGGGTGGGTGGGTCGTAGAAATTAGGTGGTGGTAGTATAAGGAAATACTCTTATCATTTACCAAGGGTACGTATGGGTCAAAACTATCTCTTTGTGTTACATTCTAGGTACACAATCTCTTAGTGATAAAAAGTTACATACTAGAAAGCTCAGTTTATAAATAACTCGTATTTCAAAAGAACTAATTAACAGCGAAACTCACTTTTTAAATATGATCCTCTACCCATAACTAATTAGCAGTTCAGTGCGCATGTCCATGACCTGTTGAACTCTCGCCGAGTACAGCTCGGCCAAAAAATATTCACCTACCTACACTTCAAAGATCTTATCAAAACAGCAAAGCATTTTTACATCACTTGCGGTTTTAAAAAAATGCACCTAAAAAAATGAAAGCTTATAGCCTATAACTATAAAGCGATATTATTATTAGTTACAGAACTGTATGTGCGTCATAACGCGCACTTTAAATTTTTAACAGAAAAAAAAACTACTTTTGGCAACCATATTTGTTTTTGACGTCATCATTCACTATAAATATAATTAAACATACCTAACCGCTTTTTTTTTCAAAAGAAAGAGAGAAAATGTATTAATAGACAGCTAATCTTGAACCCAAAGTTTCGAATTCAGCTCACTGTTAGCACGCGCTCAAAGAACGATAACCTTGCAAAATGTTACAATTTAAAAAAAAAAAAAAGCTGAAATGATATATTAGTCAGCTGGTAGGCGAGTCCATGTGCTCAAGGACGTCTGAAAACCAGAGCAGCTGTTCACGTCTGCACGTCGTTTGGAGCTATTTACATTACAAGGTCGTAATCCAAGTTTGGCAAGGTGGGTGGAGGAAGCATTTCGGTCAAAACTTAGAAGTGAAGCATAACTTTTTTAATAAAAAAAAAACCAAAAAAAAAACCGGTCAACTTGCAGATTCAGGTTTTTAAAAAGCTCTGCGCATGTCGGGGATTGTGTGGGGAGGGGGCACACGTTCCGCTCCATAACTTTTTATCTCTAAATATGTTAAGATTTTTATTTAGTTCACCATGTCTGTATGTTTGTGGCTAGCCTTGAAACCCAATTTTGACCAAATTCTAATGCAGCAAATGTTTTCAAACTCAGCAGTGTCTTGTATTGAGAGTTAATCTTTGAGTGATCTTAAAGTTAAAGGGGGGTGAATTTGTTGATAGGGGAATTAACAAGCAAACATTGTAATTAATGATATTTATTGAATAAAATAAAGAAGTATCAAAACATGTTTGAAACAAATTAAAACAGATTTTTTTATGAATGTTAAAAATCTATCAAGTTAAGACTAAACTGTACAGTGTATGATGTGTGGAGCATCTGTGTGTGGTGTGGCTGGCCCCAGTCTACATTGTGTGGGAAGACAGGCTTAGTCAACATTGTGTGGGAAGACATGTAGCCAGAGCACTCAATCTTTCTAAAGTCTCAGACTAGATCATCATACAGATGATTTGTGCCTGAAAAAAAGACAAAATAACTCTTTAACCCAGGCAGTGTGCACTATCAATGGTCGTATCAATCTCCTTACACACTTGTGTAATAAAGCTTACATCAGCTGACAGCTCTCAATAATCTACTGAAATCTATTGTAACTACCCATCTATTTGTTTAAGTGTGGTGAGAATGACATGTATTTCAACTCTAAGACATTAGCCCACTCTGTCAGCTATTTCATAATTCGTTGATAGAAATCTAAAGCACCCTTTTCGAAACTGACAATCTATGAGGCAAGTGGAGTAGAGTCAGAGTTTCTTCCAGGCATCTTTTCAAAGAAAGAATACCGCCCCCCGAACGAAATGGAATTTATATAGAAAATATATACTTTTAACAGTGTCCGCCCCCCGAAAATTGTTGTCTGCCCCCCCCCCCCCCCGAAAATTTCAAGTGCACCCCCCCCCCCCCCCCCCCGTAGAATAAAGTCTGGAAGAAACACTGAGTAGAGTTCACCTGTTTCTGTGACCTTGGCATGTGAAGGGATAGTGTGGTCAGCACTATGCCCAGCCACCTTTGCTTAACCTAACATGAGTTAGGTACTCATCAGAGCTGGGTGGACTCAAGGACATTCTACTGACTTGAACCTGGTTTGAACTTGAGACTTGGGTTAGCAGTCTAGCACTCTAGAAGTTAAGACCTAGCAATCATACATACATGTTGGCCTATATATTAAATGTGAAGCTAAATAGAGATTACTATGCTGATGACTCTTAAGCCAATTACAAACCCTGAACATATTTTGTTTCAAGTACAAACGGGATTTTTAAAAAGAATTCTTTGCAGTACTTTTAATTAGTAATTTTAAAAGTGCAGATATTTTAAAATTTACTCTCAAGTAATTTATATACAAAGAAAGATAACTCAGGTATGTGTAAGATGAAAAAGAATATAGTGGTTGTGTCCCATGAGCGCTGATTTATTTCAATAAAATAAAAATATATGTAATTTAACTAGCGAGTTGCGCAGCTTGCGCCGTGACCTTTGTTGCCATGGTAATCATGGCTGTACCTTGAACCTAAATTCCATGTTTCCGGTTGACCATTGCTAATTAAGGCCGTGTCGCTTAAGGCGCTACCACAGCACACCTGATCTACGCATGACACAGTGCGCATCTTTGTTTTAACCTCAAGAGGATTTAGATTCCAAGCCTATTTTAATTTTTGGATCTCGTTTATTATCTTACAGAGGAGCAATGTGCTGAAATATAAGGTAAGAGTCTATAAATAATAAGGCACTTAATATTTAGAAATAGATGCCTAAATGTTGAAAATAGTAATAATTGGGTATTGTAAAATTAACCTATATTTTAAAATTACGATTTCAAAGGTCCGCAAGCCTAGGAAGGCTGGCCGCGAGAGAGCCTTAATTTCGCGCCAAATTTCCTGTGATTCTTACATTATTAAAATATCGCATTACTTGATATCTATGATATTAGTATTAGCCTACTATATAAGGCCCTAAGTAGCCTACATTTACTAAATTATTACGGTTGATTAGGACAATTAGGTCTAGACTCTACATTAATTTAATTTTAAGATTTTTACACAAGTAGGCTTAAATTTTGATGTAGATTTCTAGATCTAGACTCAGAAAATAGAAACTCTTGTAAGTACTTGTAACTCTAGTGTACTCTAGGGCTAGGGTTATGACTCAAATAGGCCAGGATCTAGACTTCTAGATCTAGATGATATTATTAATAAGATAGCCTAATAAATTCTGGATTTAGAAAAACGAATCCAGATTACTAGATCTAGCACTATTGATCTATAGTAACTAGACTAGATCTAGATCAGACTAGATTTAGAATTTAGATCTAGATCTAGTAAAAAATAATCTAGCTTTAGTTAGGCCTAGATCTAGTTTAATTCTAGATCTAGAATCTAGATCTAATTTAATCTAATAGGACCAACACTAATTTAGATCTAGATTCTAAAATCTAGATAAGTTAAATTAATTTATATGTGTTCATCTCATTAGTAATTATGCATTAACTTGATTAAGTACTAAGTTAAGTAATATAAGTAGGCCTAGGCCTATACCATTTCAGTAATTACTAATTAGCCTATTTATTTTAATGCAGTACATTTAGATGAACATAATCATTTAATCATTATGTTTGATTAGGACTCTACATTAATTTTTTAGTTATATTTTTACACGTTTTCAGTTACAGCAATGTTTTTATTTTTGCCGAAACTATTCTTAGATTCTATTTCATACAAACAAGTACTAGTCTAGATCTCTAGAACTTGTAAAAATTAAAAATAGTGAGACATTGTTAAATGGTTAAGAATAGATTTAGACTAGTTCAGGTATAATTCTCCATCAAGTAGGCCTATATATTTAAATTAATATAGGGCCTAGGCCTATGTATGTATATATCTATAACTAGGCCTATATAATAATATAATTTTATAAAGCCCTATGCCCTTAGACCTCTTTATTAAGGACAATTTTAGTACTTGATAATTTTATTAATATTAATTTATTTCTAGACTTGTGTGCCTACAACTTGGGTTAATTTGTTTTCTTTGTACATCTTGTGTACTTATAGGCAAGACCAACAATGTGTAAAGAGGATTGCTAATGCAATCAGAAACTTGATGGCTGAGATAAAGCGGCTGAGGAGAAAAGAGGCTCGTGACTGGAATAGGTTGGTGGAACTTGTGTACAGCCCTTTCTATGTTCAACCAATGTCTCAGGTGGAAGTACATTTAGTAAGTATGGAGACTGAATTTATTTCTAATTTTTATATTTATTTTATTTACTTTGCAATATGTTGTGCTAGATATATATTTTGTGAAATGGTCTGCTAAATTCTAATTCCATTTGCCCTTCTCTTTTCAGGTAGTTTTCATGGAGAATGATGTGGCTGCTCGCACATAACTAAAATCTACATTCAACTGCTTGCAGATCTCAAGAAGCCTGGGGTTCCCGTGCAGCGCAGCAAGCACTCAGGCTGATTGGGAAGTTAATTTCTGGTCCTTCGATAAAGCTCAGTTACAACCACACAATGTGGCGATCAAATGTACTCTGTTTCTTAAAGTCATGGAAGCGTTGTTGACTTCTACTGAGCCTTTCTTGGTGCGACAGCTGGAGAGGTATCTGATGGGAAATCTGATTGGTGTCCAGCTGACTCATAAGTGGGAGCAAGGTGATCAGGGTGTGTCGCAATACAGTGGAAGGATTATTAAAAGGGTGCCAGCAACAAAATAAAAGTCTGCTCTTTACACCATAAGCTACTGGGCAGAGGATGAGGATAATGTTGAGGATTTCAGTCATCTGGCAGAATCACTGGTTGTTGACTTTGTAGGAATCTTGTTTTTCTTTCTGAATGATAGCTAATCAGAATTTCAGAGTACTTCTTTCATTTTTAGTATACAAATGAACTTTATTTTTTAAACATTAGTGTTTTTGTAAATTGTTACTGAAAAAAATGATTGCTGTGAATTGTAAACTTATTTTGAAAACTAATACTAACAATGTTTATAATTAAGTTTAGTTTTCATAGTGTAAAAAATAATTACCTTTTAATTAATTACTTAACTTATTTTTCAGGGTAATTGAAATCAGCTAGATAATCCTAGAATCAGTAGTTAATGTGCTTCAAAAATGTTGGTCCAAACTAATTTATCACACTAGTACTAACGCTTTTTAAAATGTATTTTTTTTCCTCAGATGTGCTAATTGTATCTAAAGATTAATTATAATTGATACTTTAGAAAATTGTTTTAACACTAAAGAGACTAAAGTGGTCCAAGAAATTTTTTCCAGCATACATTCAATGAATGGTTAGATTTACTAGTAATTATACTTTATCCCAATATTTTAATGTTTATTCCTTGATATTTAATACTACTTTTTTTCTTAAGAGGGATCGTAATGAGACGAGGCTCATTTCTTGTACTGTAGATTTGTTTCTTCACACTAATTATGATTATGTAACTGTTTTACAGAACTGTGATGGTCGTAGATTATACAAGGGCTAAATTTAGGTTGTCACTATGTAGTTTATTTCTTTGCTCTGATAAACATATGTTTAAAATTATTGCAAAAAATCTTTTTTTTTTACTTTGCCATTGTCCTAAATGTTTCTATCTTATTAGACAAAATTAAAATTCATGTGGTAATCTGATTACTGTATTTTAATACTGTGTTTCTCACATTCTAATAATTTACATTGCATAGTTTAGTAGTAATAAACACTGGTACACACTTCGACAGCTGTTTTCTTTTTATTTTGTTCTATAATTTTATTATGGCCTCTTGATATAGACACTGAAATATCAAGTAAGTGGGGGGGGGGGGGGGGGGGCCTGAGAAAGTAACGTAAAGGCAACCAGTTGCTACTTCCATTTATCATGTAATGTGTATGTAGGTCTACTCTACTTCATCTACCCAAGTAATATCGTTCATTACAATTAGATATAAAGAACGTGTGCAGTAATATGTGCTTATGCATTTCTATTATATAATAATAGTAGTAACAGTATTAAATATTAATAAATCGATTTACAATAACTAGATCTAGTTTAGTTTAAACCTAGATCTACATTATTTTTTTTTTACACGGAGTAATAAGTCAATAATAATATATGAATGGCATTAAATTAATCATTCAAATCACATCCAGTCCAGTATAACTTAGACTTTAAGCTTGATTATAATTTTTTAGTTTTTAAAAAAATGCGAATCCCGGATGATGTAATAAAATTATAATTTTTTAATTTTTCGAAAAATGCGAATCCGTGATGATGCAATGAAAAAACCATCGGTGCCAACTTTTTTGCTTATGTAACATTGACTTGAATGGCGAAGGTCTAAGCTGTTTTAGCCACGCCCACAAATTTTTAAAAGGCCATATCTTAGCTCCTAATTAAGCTAGAGACACAAAATTGGTATCAATGTGTAGGGAAAAAAATCCTGTTTTTTTGTGGTATAATTTTACTTGAAATTAGTGGAGTTTAAAAATTACGAGCAACAGCCTAATTTAACTGTTCCTTAATAAAAATGAATGCAGCATAAAAATATCATAAATATAGGTTATTTCAAATGCTTATGAAATTTAAACTAAATTTAAAGAAAGCTGTGTCAAAAGGTGTCCTTACATGGGCTTTTCATTGGTTAAAAAGCTAAGTATCTGTCCTTACATGGGCTTTTCATTGGTTAAAAAGCTAAGTATCCTCTCCCTGTGCCTTTGCTCTTGATTAAGTCCAGCATTGCTCAGAACATAGCAGGCTACATAACCACCCACAGTACTGCAAAAAATAGGTCAAGTCAGACATATTTCACTCAACTAAAATAAACAGTTTAAAACAAAAAGTTCCACCAAGGTATTTAATTGAGAGACAATGCGCAGGAATAACAAGACGATTGTATTTGTTTTAGGCTGCTGTAAGGTGAGACAGTCCCTAATAGCACTTTCAAGGGTAAAACCAAAAACAGTCTGAAAATACTATCTCCCTGTAAATAGAAGGGACATATGCAAACAAAGACTCACCCAACAGCTGGGCTATTAGTTGTGCTAATCAAACCACATGTAAACAATCACAACAAAAAAAAACCACCCAAACACAACAAAAACCCACCCAAACACAACAGACCCATCCCCCACACTTAGCAAAGACCTACCCAAACACAACAGACCCATCCCCCACACTTAGCAAAGACCTACCCAAACACAACAGACCCATCCCCCCACACTTAGCAAAGACCTACCCAAACACAACAGACCCATCCCCCACACTTAGCAAAGACCTACCCAAACACAACAGACCCACCCCCACACTTAGCAAAGACCCATCCAAACACAACAGACCCATCCCCCACACTTAGCAAAGACCTACCCAAACACAACAGACCCATCCCCCACACTTAGCAAAGACCTACCCAAACACAACAGACCCATCCCCCACACTTAGCAAAGACCCACCCAAACACAACAGACCCATCCCCCACACTTAGCAAAGACCCACCCAAACACAACAGACCCATCACCACACTTAGCAAAGACCCACCCAAACACAACAGACCCATCCCCCACACTTAGCACCCACCCAAACACAACAGACCCATCCCCCACACTTAGCACCCACCCAAACACAACAGACCCAGCACCACACTTAGCAAAGACCCACCCAAACACAACAGACCCAGCCCCCACACTTAGCAAAGACCCACCCAAACACAACAGACCCACTCAATCGCAAAAGACCCACCCCTACATAAACCAACAAAGACCCACCCAATCACAACAAAGACACCCTCCATATAAACAAAGACCCACCCAATAACAGCACCAGTAGCTGTGGAACTGAGAACAGTTTTCAGGGGCCGCCCCAGGTTAATGAGGCCCAAGCCTACAGCAGTAGAAATAGTGTACTCCCACACAGTGGACTCATTCCTGTAGGCAGCTATGGCTTGAGACAGATGGCTGGGGATCCAGATCACAAATATAACGCATCAAACAGTGACTTTACGACACAATAGTAATACAAATAAGATGGCTGGGGATCCAGATCACAAATATAACGCATCAAACAGTGACTTAAGGACACAATAGTAATACAAATAAGATGGCTGGGGATCCAGATCACAAATATAACGCATCAAACAGGACACAATAGTAATACAAATAAGATGGCTGGGGATCCAGATCACAAATACAACGCATCAAACAGTGACTTAAGGACACAATAGTAATACAAATAAGATGGCTGGGGATCCAGATCACAAATATAACGCATCAAACAGTGACTTAACGACACAATAGTAATACAAATAAGATGGCTGGGGATCCAGATCACAAATATAACGCATCAAACAGTGACTTAAGGACACAATAGTAATACAAATAAGATGGCTGGGGATCCAGATCACAAATATAACGCATCAAACAGGACACAATAGTAATACAAATAAGATGGCTGGGGATCCAGATCACAAATACAACGCATCAAACAGTGACTTAAGGACACAATAGTAATACAAATAAGATGGCTGGGGATCCAGATCACAAATATAACGCATCAAACAGTGACTTAACGACACAATAGTAATACAAATAAGATGGCTGGGCATCAAGATAACAAAATAAATATGAAATAGTGACTAGTACAACATAATTTGACAAAAATCACAATGTAAAGAACTAAAGTGTACTATTGAGTTATTTTGAAATCTACACCTTAATATGGACACAAAAATCTGACAAAACATACCATGCAACGATATAATTTAACAGTTTCTAATTTGTCTTACACCTAAAGATTCTCATTTTCATACTCACATGAATGACAGTGAGAGTGTAGCTATCTGCAGTGTTGTTTTCATAGTTTCCTTGATGATATAGTTTCTACCAAGTACCTCCTTCTGCAAACATAGTAACACACAGATTGGTTATCTCCCTTCAATGTCAGTAAATGTTTACTGAACCAAGTCTTCCCACACAAGGTTGACTGTGGCAAGTCTTCCCACACAAGTTTGACTGTGGCCAGTCTTCCCACACAAGGTTGACTGTGGCAAGTCTTCCCACACAAGTTTGACTGTGGCAAGTCTTCCCACACAAGTTTGACTGTGGCCAATCTTCCCACACAAGGTTGACTGTGGCAAGTCTTCCCACACAACGTTGACTGTGGCCAGTCTTCCCACACAAGGTTGACTGTAGCCAGTCTTCCCACACAAGGTTGACTGTAGCCAATCTTCCCACACAAGTTTGACTGTAGCCAGTCTTCCCACACAAGGTTGACTGTAGCCAGTCTTCCCACACAAGGTTGACTGAAGCTAGTCTTCCTACATACATATGTACACCAGCATACACTGTAGGCTAAATTTTAGCCTAAACTTGATAGATCAAAAAATCTACAATGCCATTGGGGATAGTTAAGTAAATTAATGTTTTAAACTAAATAGCTTAACAGATTCAAACATAATTTAAACCAGATTTTTAAAAAGAACACAGCTTCATAATTTTATTAATACATCAGGACCAAGTATAAAACAAAATCTTCTAAATTATATGGTTAATTTTAAATATTAAAATCATTATCAATCACTCACAGTAATTCCTTTTAAAACAGCTTCTGATTTAGATGCAGACTTTTCTGCTTTTCTTTTATTAACCTCCAAAGTAGCAGAAATAGCGCCATAGATAATGCCTAAAAATATACTGCGTCGAAGCATGGTATTCATTTCTTGGACATCCGGTTGCAAGAAGCCTGTTTCATTGCTGTGAATAAAATAGGAAAGAGACTTATTCCAATTATTACAATACCCTGTAGGGTAACTAAGACTTGTATGATGAGGATCCTGGATTCACATTTGAAACCAACAAACAATTGCTGTCAATAACAGTAATATCTGTTGATGGGGGAAAGGGTGAGGTTAAATCATTGGGAAAACAATCATTTAAAAAATAAGAACAAGTATTCATAAACATAATTTCAGCAGCTAAAGGTTATTTGTTATATTTTAGCAAATATAGTATTCATAAACATTTAGGCTCTGGAGAAATTTATATTAAATAATTTTATATTCAAATCATTACAATTGCCTACTTTAAATGTTTGGAAAATCGTATTTACTAGATAAATGTAAACAGATCACGTCATTGCTAGAGGTATTCTCGAGTAAGTTCCTTTGGCTGGAGTTTGTAAGACATCCCTTAGTCCACAAGCTATAATGGGTACCTAATTTCAGTTGAAGAAAGTAAATACGATCGGGCATAATTTATTATTATATGCCAATGTATAATAAAAAGAAGAGCGCTACTTTATTAACCCTTTAGAATGTAATGTCTGGAATTTGAATTTTTAATGTTACTTATATTTATAAACAAAATGTCTGTATCTACTATATCTTTAGCTTATATATTATGTAGACAGTGAATACTAACAAAGCAAACATGATTTTCAGCCTATCAAATCCAGTCTCTTTCTCCAGCCATTTGTTTATCTCATTGCTGTAACTCATTTGTTTACCACTTGGGGGCGCTAGTGAGCCAGGCAGCATATCCCCTTTATTCTTCTCTAGCGAGCAAGGCATTTCCCCTTTATTCTTGTCTAGCGAACAAGGCAGCATATCCCCTTTATTCTTGTCTAGTGAGCCAGGCAGCAAATCTGCTTTATTTTTGTCTATTTTGCAAGGCACCATATCCTCTTTATTCTTGTCTAGCGAGCAAGGCAGCATATCTGCTTTATTCTTGTCAATTGACTCATTGGAATACGAATTTGAATTTTCACTTTTGGATGAACAACAAGCTGTTGGTAAAAGTGAACTCAAAAATGTACTGTTTGACTTTAAGTCAATAAATGTTTTGAAATTTCTAAACGGAGAGCTGCTGCTTGTGCAGTCAGGCTGCTTACAAGCTGGAAACAATGTGCACTGTGTATTGAGGAAAGGATAAAAAGGGCTGTGTGTCCGTTTGCATTGCATCTCCAAATCAAGTATTCTATTCATGATCACAAATGTTTTTCTTCAAGTTGCTTCAAGTATGGAAAAACTTGCAATCTGTCAACAAGTTTGTAAAGTCTGAGGAAGAAAATTTAAAAACTGTTTCATTATTTTAAGCTTAGTGTTCATTAAATCATTCTTACATTTAATCAAGTTCATTTAGGCATAGGGTCTTACTGACAGGGATGTTAAAAATTAGAATTGTAAATTGATTTAAATAGCTAACTACTTGTATTTAGTACTAACGATTAATATAGTTCTATAATATTAATATTCTATATCCTTCACACTCACAGTGGTTCTAGGATAACTACCACACTAGACTAGATGGTAGTAAACAATGTAAAATGATTTAATTAGGCCTAATAATATTAACGAGCCAACCCGCGGTGTATCATACGCCGCTATTTAGTTGTTTTATTTTCTACTTTTCAGTAATTCATAATTTGTGAATTCGACAGTACCAATGCTGCAACTGAAAATATTTGCTTTAAATCACTACCACCCCTTTCCCCCCAACCCCTACCCTACACCCCCCCCCCCCCCCCCGTGAAAGCAGCCTCCTCTTAGTTACCTCCTGTAAGTTTAAAATCGTTTCAAACTAAATTATCTGCCCCTAATAGACTCTACGATTTGTAAACATTTAGAGTGAACCACAGCTCACCAGATCATGTGGGGGTGGGGTGGGTAGTGATAGTGATAGAGAGGAAGAGAGGGGACTGCAAGGCGCGCGCTTGCAGCTTGTTTTCTAACGGCTCCCAGAAGAGAATTATATATATAGATAATAGAACCTTTGCTCAAAAATTTACTTTAAAAAATACACTTTTGTATTGTAGGCCTATGTAGTATGTTGTGTCATAGTTAATAGTATGAGTATGTAGGTAGACCTACTATTTATTAAATTATTTAATAAATCGGTTCATTACAAAAAACAAGGTAATTAAAAAGTCTAGTGACAATTTTAGCGCAATTTCCTTATGTTATCTAAAAATAGCTCTGTCGTAGCGTAAATCAAGAGTAGGGTTAGTAAAACCATTGGTTAGTTATTAAAACGTTTTTTATTAATTTTTTTCAGTATTTTACATGTTTTATTTACAATAGAGTTACATGACTAAAAACCATTGCGCGCCTACTGAACTTGATGGCGCAGCCATGGAACGCGATGGCCCAGCTATTGAACGTGATGACGCGTGTAGTGTGGTTGGAAAAAAATGCCTACTAATTCGGTCCAAATTTTAATTAATTCAAAAAAAATTTTGTGACTGAACGAAAGGATATTTTTGAAAACTTTATTCGGCAATATTGTTCTAAATTATGGCAGGAATCGATTGGTACATGTTTGAAGTCGCTTAGTTGTCTGGTTTCCGAGATATGGGCCAAAGACTGCTTTTTTTCGAGGTTTTTTGGCTTTTCCGGGAAATCCATGAAAGAAACCCGTAATTTTTATGGCCTATGTTCATCCTCGTAACTTGCTTAACATAATTGCTTTTGGAACTAGTCATCGATATTGCTTCGTTGAGGAGGAGATACGACTTAAAGCCCGGACACACATTCATCCATACATTCATCCATCCATTCCCAGAAATGACGAGTTAATAAACGCAATTCTCCAGAATGGAAATTGCGCTAAAAAGGAGAGGTAGATCTAGAAATGATGTAAACTAGGGCCTAAGGCATAAACTATTTGTAATGATGACTAAATAGGCCTAAGATTATTTATATTACTAATTATTAGGCCTATTAATTAATATTAATAATTATGGCCGTTTCCACTGCCTTGTATTGCTTTTTTTGTAGTAGAGTTCGTCCTTCATTATTATAAATAATTATAATCATACTTCATCACTTAAACTTAGTAACTAAGTCTATTACTAGATCTAGATCTCTAGATCTAGAATAATTTGCTAGAAGTACTTAGAAGTCTAAGTGAAATGTGATTAACTAGATCTAGATTTCTCTAGATCTACTCTAGTTTTACTGACACTGATTTGACTTTGAGTTGACTCACTAACTACAGCAGAATAGTCTGGGCTACACCGGCCGGTATGTGAGGTGCTGTTTTTTTTAATAATATTATTTATTGATGTTGGTTTTTTAGTGATAACAAAAGTGACATTTACTCTGATGGATGCCTTTGAATCAACGTCACTAGATTTATGGCAGGCCATAATTTTAAATTTATGCTTGGAATCTAGATCTAAATTCTAGACCTCTCTTGCTAGGTTAACACATTTTGTGACATCTAAATCAAACTCATCG